GTGCAACAGGTTGCTAGTATGATAATGATAAAATTCCAAACTGGTTCTTTGCTATGTTGTCATCTCTAGAGAGTCATTGTGTTTTAATGAGTCATGGGTTGGTGTTAAGCTTGAAAAAACAGAAACAAAACATTCCTTTTAAATTTGTCAGGTGCGAGGACTGGACTGAGTGCAGAAGCAGGCAATGCCCAAAGAAAAACTTTGAAAGACCTCAGAAATCCTGGAGAGATATTGCTCAAGACCACCTAAAAATAGAGGTAACTCCGTGTAAGGCAGTTATAAAGAAATGAGGGTTGCTCAAGACTTTTGCACAGTGCGCTATATATTGGGGATCATTTTCAGTAAATGCAATCTTTAACTGCATTTAACAATGAAAAACAATACAGTAAAGAAATGATGTTTTTAAGGCATCTCGTCCTGATGCTACCTTCATGAGGTTCTTGAATAAAATTTGCTTTTACTTTGCTATTTCACTTATTCCCTTATAAATGTTTTTAAATATACCACATTTTCAAATACTCAAAAGACAATTCACAATATATAGAGTGTTAACTGTAGTTTTAAAACGTGTTGTTATTGTATTAGTACATAGCTTCATTGTTTTGCTTTACTCTATAGTACATCTATGGCTTACTCTTACTGTACAGTAGTCGCTGTACACATGCCTTTCCAATACTAACACTCAGGATTATAGAGAAAAGTAAACACGGCGACTCAGAAATGTTGGCATATGTGTTTATTCTGGATGTTTTCCGTGTAGTAGCGGTGTTAGTTCATACTGTTTTACCATCATTTCGTTGGCCAATATTGACATTTCTGCTTTGATGGACGCGTTTCCGGCCTAGCATACTTCATACCAGCGACGTGTGAATAGGGGTGGTCCTCAACTGTCAAGAGGGGAAGGCCTCGCTCAGTCTATTTATTTTTTATTTTTTCGCACCCTCCCACACATTTAACGTCGCCATAATTGTGTTTTATTCGTATAGGTGGACGGGCGGTGTTCATTTTAAGCTTTTTGGTGTCGACTGAAACACCGGAACGCCCCCCTCCAGTCGTTTGTCGGTCGTAAAGTCCGAACATCCAGCTGATTGCTTTGAGTGCTGTTCAATTATTCCAGTTCAAACTGAGCCGTTTCCTTTGACTTAACGGAAGGCTTTTTGTGGCTGAAGCGAGTTTGCCGACGCGATATTTATTTATTTATTACCCATGTGTGGACTTTCGGAGGAATTGGACAGCTATCGTTTTGTGTAATTTGAGCGTTGGAGGCTTTTTCTCATTGAACGACCAGGCCCCGGACTCATCCCCAGCCTCGCGTTTCCTTATCGGCTTTTTGTGTGTGCGTGTGTGTGGGTGCGCGCGCGTGTGGGTGCCTGTGTTTGTGTGTGTGTGTTGGAAGTCATGGGAGACACTAGTGAACGAAGCAAACCTCCGACTCTACCTCCCAGGTGTCCCTGCGGATTTTGGGGGTAAGTGTTAAACCTGATAGAAACCGGATTAAACCCGCTATCTTGAACTGAAAGGTAAATCCGGATGAATTGTGCTAAACGGGTTCAACTAGTCCAAACCCATTGTTGTTGTTCTGTTGTACAGGCCGAGGGTGGGGGGTTGGGAAGTTGGCTAATAAATAACCTCCTAGCTTGAAAACTAGCTTAATTTACCCCCTTTTTAGAGCTCTCACACTCTTTGTCGTCTCCTGTAGTGCCGGTTGTTATTTTCCGACCGTGCTCTACCGTTTTTTAGGGTTATTTTTGAAACCAGGAGATGACGTACCCGACATAGAAAATGATTTATTGCCAGCAGGTTCCTTTTAAACCTGCCCTGTTTTCGTCTACCACCTCAAAGGAAAGCTGGATTTAAATATTTAACACGCTACTTTTCTTAACCTTAAGATTTAAATGTGTTGTTAAACTTATTTTGTCGTTTATTTACGCCCCTCTTTACATTCGCTCTTGTCAAGAGGTGTATGTGTGTTGCATACCGGATGTGATTCACTGATCTCGCCTGTGTTACCCCATAGGAAAAATGACTAACCTTTTTAAATGTATTTAGCAGTAACCATAGAAGTGACTGGTTATTTCTCATTAAACGCATGCGATTCATTCCACCACATGACGGAAATAAAGTATGACTAGATTACTGCAATAATCCACCCCCCTTTACATTACAGAAGTATTGATAATTTCTTGTTCCTGTCTTCACCTGCTTTGAGGCAAATATCAATACAGAACATAGTCTTATGAATTGACATTTGATAACCAGCCCCTCTTCCCCAGCTGCCTTCGTTTTCTGCTGTCCAGAAAGCAAACTGGAGGTGGCAGTAACCCACCTGTCAATGTCAGGTGACATGAATGGCAGCCTTGTGTGTTTATGGCCCCAGCCTGCCTCAGCTCAGAATAACACCTGGTGGGGGGGTCTACTGGCTCTCAGCACATGTCCCTAAAAGCCAAGGCTTTGTGAAAAGATTTCAAGGTTTTATTCAACTATTTGCAGGATTTTACATCTTACTAAAAATATGGGGTGCAAACCTTCACCTTGTCACTACTGATGATATTTACATTTTTTCAATTCTCTCTTTTTTTCTTTTTGGTGTCCCTCAGCCCCAAAGAAACAAAAACTAAACAAAACGAAAAAATATCTGAATAATTAACTAGTGCAAGACTGACTTTGTTCCAGTCGGTTGCACAATATACTGCTTAAGCTACTACAGAGTCTGTAGCACAGCACTACATAAATGATATAAAACTAAATCAATAGACAAATATAAGCAGACAAAGTAATAAAATGATTATGAAATGCGACTATAGATTTAAAAACAAGCAAAAGCAACAATAATATAATAAAAAAGGCTAAAAATGTATATGTTAAATCCACAGAAGGAAACAGATATTTAATAAAGTGGTTATTAAAACCAATAAGAGGACAGTAAAATGGTTTTTAAAAAGTTAAAGGTAATAAACAGGGGAGAAATAAAATTAAATGAGAGCTGTGAGCAACACTATTCCAGGAAACAACATTTTTGCATTTATTATAAGTCCATAAAACAAATATATAAATAAGGTAAAATGATAATTAAGACCAGGAACTAAACTATCGAAATACAAATACTGCACTTTGATGCAGGTTTGCCAATATTATTCATACCAATATGTCCTTTAAGATGTCAGCTCATCAAGATTTAAAGGCATCGGTTAATTTTGGGTCCAAACCTGCACTAACTTGAGCAAAAAAAAGTCAAACCACAAGTGATTTCATTGATTACTTCTTTGAGATAAGGCAGCGCTATTCAATGGAAATCATCTGTTTGCACAGGTTGGCTCCATGAGCTTATAAAGTCCAGTAGTAAGCTCAGTAAAACATGCTAAGTAACTTCAGTTAATAATAAAATAAATCATTAATAATGGCATTAAATGAGCTATTATTGGTTGTAACTGCAGACAAACCTATCTCACACTGAGTTTTGATGAGAATACCTTTGATTAGCAATGATTAACTGCAACCAAGATATGTTACAGCTAAAGTGCAGCCTGCATGACATTAGTTTTAATCATATCAAACATTGCTTTTAAGTTTCTTTAATTTGTGGATACTTCAGAGTAGCTAATGTACAGGTTGATCACTTCTTATGAGCAACAGGATTTAAGAGGATGAGGTAATCGATTTAAAAATACTTTGTCTTTGAGTAAAGCCTTGTTCTTGGATTCAAGATGACGGAATAGTTATCAGTCTGTTTGTTTTTTCCTACTCTGCATGCTGCTATCAGATGAACAAGTTGCGTTTTGAGGACCTAAACAAAATATTTGACTTGGTTGTGGCGCCTTTGTGCTGACATAATCAAGCTTTCCCATCTTGTCTCCACCTTGAAGTGTCACCTGGGATCATAATGAAGTATATTTTGTCTGTAGAAGGCTTGTTTTATCCTGTGTGGTTTATGTAGCAAAGAAAAAAGAAGCCATCTTATTTGGAAAATTTCAGGCTTTTAGGGATTTAAGCATTATTACAGACTAGATGAAAATATTAAAATTGTCTCAAAATTGCATATTGTTTTTTGGGGTTTTTTTTGGCTTAGAGCGACTGAATTTGTCTGGTACTATCATTCACCTCTTTGCTTTCAGTATAAACAGTCTGTGCAGGCTTGTCCTTCTGTATTAGTCACCTAGCTCCTGTAGGAACAATGATATGAATACCCCACCAAGTTCCAGCTTGTATACCATTGAAAGAACTCAGTGTGAACAGAAATGGCTGAGAACAAAGACATTGTGGTGGTATGGACATTGGAGAGAAGCCCAGAAGGTGAGGGAAAGACACACCTGTGGCAAAGGTCTTACCAACTGCCAAGAAAAGATTCAAATGACTAGTTTTAAAACTGTTGATTGTCTTCTGAATGGACTTGCAATAAAAAAAACCTTAAGGTCACATCTAGGTCACTTTAAACTCTGTAAGAATGTTTTCTCTGTCTATTCAAATCTTGACTATTCATGGCAAAAGCTTGTAAAATCACTTTTGTGTTTTTGTTGAAAGTTCTTAGTTAGGCTGTTACTATGCAGCCATCAAAAAGATGAAAGGCAAAGAACAAATGGGACTGGCTAGTTTGTAGGTAGAACAATAAAATATCTGTAAGGTAAAAATCTGCAAGCATTACACTATCATGGACTCCAGTGGTAAATGGCCTGCATTTGTATAGCGCTTTACTCAGTCCCTAAGGACCCCAAAGCGCTTTACACTACATTCAGTCATTCACACATTCACACACTGGCAATGGCAAGCTACATTGTAGCCACAGCTGCCCTGGGGCGCACTGACAGAGGCGAGGCTGCTGGACACTGGCGTCACCGGGCCCTCTGACCACCACCAGTAGGCAAACATGGGGTTAGTATCTTGCCTAAGGATATTTGGGATCGAACCACCGACCTTCTGATTAGTGGCTGACCTGCTCTGCCACCTGAGCTACAGCCACCCGTGCTGTCAGTCTCAGCCGTTCTTTGAGGCATGCAACAGCAAATGAAGGTTGAAGTTTAGGTTGACAATATATGCACAGTTTGCATATTCAAATGGGGGTTTGGGCATTGTAACAGCAGGTTACCTATTGTTGAACTTGAACCAAATATTAGTGAATTTGTAGCATAGTTTTTTTCCCCTTTTTGACTACAGAAAGATCGACAGAAATCTACTCGAGTATGTAAAGCCAGATGGGCGTAATTTACCTTTAAGATGAAATGTTTGTCTCTCTGCTTGCAGCTTGCAGGAAACTAGTAATGCTGAAACAATCAAGGGAGTGACAGAAGATTCATCAGCAACAATAGCTTAACAGTGGGGAAGAATATCCCCTCTTCCAGCCGTGTGCTCCTCTTGTGCAGCAACTGTCTGCTTATCAATTTTCTCCCTTTTCTTTCAGTCTTACCTCGAAGCCAAGGCCCAATTTCTGAAATCCTGAGATTAAACCTTGGAGGAGATTATGAAAGATCATAGATTTAATGAGCTAGATATGACATAATTTTTATTTGAGATGTTGAAAAATTCCGAGTGGTATTATTCTTCCACATTTATGTTCACCTACTCTGCAGTAAATATAGGTATTAACTTGTTGGAGGAAAAGATGTTTATATATAGATGACTCCCATTAAATTCACATTTGGTAATTTGACATTGTTTCTTCTTTTATACATAAAGTTGAACCATAGATGGTTGAAATGTGTGGAAACAAACAGCAGGTCTGTGGAGGTTAAAAACTGACATTATCTCTCTTGTCTTTCCAGGTCCAGTAAAACAATGAACTTATGCTCCAAATGTTTTGCTGGTAAGTCACTTCTAAATGCACAGTATTTGTCTTGTGGGGGGAAATAAACAACACGAGTAGAAGGAACTTCTTGTATTCTGGGTTTTCATTTGGATATCATTCAATAGCAAAGGAGGCACAGGACACAAATGGGTCCTGTTACACCTTGGGTACCTGACATCTTTCAGCAGCCAACAACATCCCTCAGTTTACTGAATGTTTGCCAACTGCGTGACTTTTCTCCAAATGTAAAAGATTTAAAGTGGTGCTACTTTGCAATCAGAGGTCTTGCTTACATGCACGAAAGTAGGAACTCTACTTGGAGAATGAGCCAGACTTCTTTGTCTGTCAGTACAAGTCAGCTGGAAGCTGTACAAAAGATACAGAACTGATAGCTATTCTGTTGCTTCTGATGTTCACTTTGGTTGTTTTGTCTGTAAATGTGGCCACAGGACACGCGTGGTCTTTCACTCAAATGTTGTGATGTTTTGTCCAATGAAGTTGTGGCTGGCTCAATAAATGGCCTGTATTTGTATAGCGCTTTACTAGTCCCTAAGGACCCCAAAGCGCTTTACACAACCAGTCATCCACCCATTCACACACATTCACACACTGGTGTGTGTGAATGTGTGGCCACCCTGGGGCACACTGACAGAGGCGAGGTTGCCGGACACTGGCGCCACTGGGCCCTCTGACCACCACCAGTAGGCAACGGGTGAAGTGTCTTGCCCAAGGACAAAACGACCGAGACTGTCCAAGCCGGGGCTCGAACCGGCAACCTTCCGACTACAAGGCGAACTCCTAACTCTTGAGCCACAATCGCCCAATATGTTCGTTGTCAAAAATAAATAAATTCCTTTGCCCCCACAGCAGGTACTCAAAGCCAATCACAGTGTTGTTTCTGTGCCTCTCTGGGTTTCAGTTTGTAGTAATGGTTAAAACAATAAATGATTTAAAGTTGCATTGGTGTATAAGGCCTGTTAACTGAAAAGGCTTGTTACCTGTGTCATTTTTAACATCAGTTGCCTCCAGAGTTTCACCTGTGCAGTTGTTGCTTGACTACAGAGTTAACAGTCTATACTACAGAGATTCAAATCCCCATACCCGTGCACGGATGGATGCATTTCAGCACCCCTGGGTGCTCCCTGTTGTGTCTTTGTCTTTGAGAGTTACTTGCAGCTGCTTACTTCTCACATATAAATGGCTGAAACTATTGGATGTTCATTTTTTCTTGGCGTGCAGAGGCATTCTCAGTGACAGCCTGACACACTGCTAGCAGCAGGTTGAGGCTAGGTGTGCCAGCAGATTTCAGTTAGGAATGTCAATATTGCTAAGGAGTCATTCTCAGAAAACGAAAGAACCCATAAAGTGCCTCACTCCAAAATGATGTATTTGCCATTTGGAGGAAAACGGTGAAAGTTAGGAGATAATTGCTTCCATAAAGGATGATGAGATTCCATAAAATCTTCTTAAATTGCTGGGAAGATGGTAGCTGTTCTCTGAGGGCAGATTCGGGAAACAGACTTATCTTTGTCTGTTTCTCTGGTTACTGCATTCACTGTTTTGCTTGGAAGCTTTCTAAAACATCGAAAGTTTAATTTTTCTCCAGCATGATAATTGCACAAGAGAAAAATGCCCAGTTAAAGTTTGAAAATGTCATTGTATGAATTAAGCTGTCCCAATGACTTCTCCAGTCTGGTTCAGGTGGATGAGGGTTGAAGGTGATCCGCAGCCCTGTCGGTGGTCATAGCAACCAGTGAGCATGGTAGACAGTGAGGACCTGAGGGCCCGGCTGTGTGTCTAGCATCACAGACAGCAGTAATGCTTAGAATAGACTTGATACACACAAGTATGGAGGCTGAGCAGAAGTGGGTTAGCCCACATGTGGAGGTGAAAGTAAAATCTAGGCTGGCCTCCCACACCTTCCCCTGCGGGGAGAGGGTGGTGGTGGTGGTGGAATAAAGACAAGAACCAGCTCAGTCGTGCAAGGTGATTTTTATCTTTGTCTCACTGAATCACATTTCACTTCGTAAAGTTAACTGATAGCCATATGGTAACGGAGTTTAGAGATGGTTTGTACTTTCATGCAGGCTGTTTTTTTTAAGGTTAAAGTTCTATTTTATTTTATTTTTATACACACATGGTAGTCATGAAATGATCAGTCGCAGAGAGATGGAGATGGCGCATGCTGCAACCAGTGATTATTTTGATTGTTGGTTAATCTGTGAATATGCAGATTAATCAACCATAAAACAAAACAATATGCAACAATGGTGGAAGCTGCTTATCAAAGATTACCATAGAAGGAAAATAGAGGCATAGATGGCACCCATGTTGAATGCTTTGGAAGGTATTCAGTAAATTATTGCTGATGAAAGAAAGTTTAATATGTTTTTTTTTTTTTTTTAAAAATGGTGGCAACTATTTGTTACAAATACAGCGTGGCATGTTAAAAAGCCAGAATATTAATTTGAGCACAGTTTTTACAAGATGCCTTTTAATCAGTGCACTGGGCTTTGATTGTTTTAAGTAATCGTGTAATTGACTTTTTGGGATGAAATCGTTTCCTAGAGTTTTGTCTGTTTGCTGGTAATTTAATTTAGATGCGTTTCCATCTACAGTGTAAATGCAGATCTTTAAAGCAGCTGACCGTCAGCTGTTATTGACTTTCCTCAAATGCACCGATAAGGAAAGAGTCAGATGATTGCTGAATTCAGTGGACGCTCCATTTTCAAGTCTCTGCTAAAAGTTATAGGTGTAATGGGAGGAGAGAGCCATAAACACTGAGGCGCTCTGGAACATGATTTTGGGGAAACTCTGCTCACAGTTATATTTACCAAACAGCCGATGCATTATAGTTTGACAGACAGGAAAAACTGGGATACCAAAGGAAATGGTCAGGCAGAAGATAATAACATATGAGAGCTCTGTCAGGGCGGAGGACTAACTCACTGTTTCGCCAAATGTTTTCTTTTTTGTCTTTAGGTTGACTTGATGGTTTTAGTTTAAATATGTACCTCCAACATATCACTGTTAAATTGCCTGATAACTCTTATACACTAATTTCGATGTATTTTTCAGCTACATGAAACCTTTTACAGATGTTATAACGGGAGATCTGGGGTGCACAGTGCCTATACCACACTCCATAAGTCTAGAGTTGTCTGTTTGACACCATGTCCTATCTCCTCTTTTTTTTTTTCCCTGTCCCTCCCACTGTTTGTATTTTCCCTGTCCTCTTTTTTTCTTTTTTTCTTTTTTTGCGCATTCCTGTCTACTCCCTCACTCGCTGTCCTTGACCACAGACGTCCAAAAGAAGCAGCCAGTCGAAGACTGCACCCCCAAGCCCATCCAAAGCACCGGGAGTAGCCAATCGCCAGTTTTCAGTAGCGAGATGAGCAGTAGCAGTAGCCAATCCCTATCATTGTTGCCGCCCTCAAGCTCCGAGCAACTGTCAGCTGAAGAGCCCTTACCTGTGTTTTCCAGCACGAGGGAAGGTAAGCCTGGTCAGCCCATGACTTCACACTCACCCTGTTCTGTTTTTAAAAACTGACTTTCAGGAGAGCAAACTTTCCTAACAATGTGGAAGCAAAAGGTTAATGGTCACAGTAGACTGAAACTTTTGCTCACTTTAACGGTTAAGTATTTCTCAAAGAATTGATGGATGCAGAGCAAGCTGTTTGTGGCAGTGATGATAGAGTCTGGACTGACTGTTCTTTTTCTTTGTCAAGCACAGGAAGATGCAGAACATGGCTGACACAGGAGTGCAGCACTGAAACAAAGGAACATAATGAAATATGAAGTTCATTGCAGAGCTCATAAAACCCCTCATGTAGGAATTTTCTCAACTATTGTGGACCTCAAGACTATGTTAAATGTCATTCCTTGTAGATGAAGCAGTATGATGTCTCTGTGGTTTGGAACAGTTTGTGCAGGCATAAATGCTGCTGTGCAGCCTTTTCAGTCTTTAAATAAGTACTGGATGAATCTGTCTGTGGGTTTTGCTTTTAAAACATAGAAAAGGCAGCAGTAGTAATTCTCTGGTACAAAGTGGCACATGGTACAAGGAAAACTTCAATCTCGAGTAGAAAACACAGTTCTCTGCAAAAGCCTCTGACTGTTCAGATCTGTATGACCAGATCCTATACTACATCAACCACAACATTAAAATCACCTGCCTTATGGATGTCAGCTGTTCCCTTCTAGGGGTAACCTGTAGGGACGTTAGCCAGAGCACTTTGTGTTTGACAGTTGTGGTGATCTATAGATTTTTCTTGATCAGATGCATTTCATGCATGTTTAATCCGATCAGGTCAAGACTTTAGGCTCTTCATCATGTTCTTTGAGCAGTTTTTGCTGTGTATCAGAGCTCTTTTCCTTGCTGGGGTAGATTCTGCCGTCACAGAGTATTAGAAGTGGGCAAACTGTACGTACAAGGGTGGAAAGACTATTAATAAAGACCAAGAACCAAGTTTTCCCCAGTAGATTGTTGCATTATAACAGAATAATAAGTTTATTCACGTCATAGGTTAGTGGATTCAATGTTGTGGATGATTAGTGTGTGTTGGTCTATAGCAGATTGTCAACAATAATTACTTAATAGAATCTATTTTGTAAATTGCTACTTTTTAAATCTTTTGTTGGATGCTTTGGGACAGAAACGAGCGTACTCTGAATGCTGTCTGGGCTCCTGCTTAAATATAAGAAAGGGGTTCAGAGTAGAGTTTCTCTTCTGCATCAAAAACGGCTAATTGAGATGTTTTGGGCCTCTGTTAGGATGTCTCCTGGAGGTCTCCTAGGTAAATGGTTTCAGACATACCCAACCAGGAGCAGACTCTCAGGGCAGAGTCAAGACATGTTGAAGTGATTATATCCCTCAGCTGTCTCAGGAACACCTCAGAGAACTGAAGGCGGTGGCTTGGGACTACTGCTCCTATGACCCAGACTCGCATAAGCAGTAGAGAATATAGATAAATGTTGTTCTTAACACATTTCTAAGTTGTAGAGTTATACTTGCTTTCATCTGGGGTCATGTTTCTTACCATGTGACAAACTTCAGTATTAGTTTTCCTCTTGGTCTCCAATCAAAGTCTCTCTACCAGCACATTAACTGAATTTTTACCCACCTTTCGCTTGACTGAGTTTGCTGGTAACTGTGTCTGTCTGCTCTTTGATGCTGAGGTGATGTACAGAATCGTTCCTAAACTCACTATTAAGAGCTTAAAATGCACCTTTCCATACATACTTCTTTGTTTTGTATCATTTGTAAAATATTGTTTTGGTTGCCTAAAAATCAAATTTAAAAATCCTTGAAATGTTCATTTCATTTGTTTTGACATTTAATGGCTTTTGAAAAGGTCAAGCTGGTTTGGATGAAGTGAATATATGGCCTGCTGAAAAATGTTAGAACATCTAACATAACAGAATAATGTAATGACTAATAGTTTAAGTATTGACATTTCAGCTTCAATTTCAAATGATGAAGTTGTTTTTATTTTAAGCATGGTACACAGTACAATCGGTACATGTGGCATTATTTTCTGGTAGGTTTTCTTTCCTCGGAGTGGATGTTAAAGGAAGGAGGTCATTCCACGTCGTGTCTCACTCGCCTTTTATTCCTCCACCTGTAGGTGTGTCGTCCACAGAAACAGCCCAAGGCACACTCTGCACGCCCACAAAACGTCCACGAGAATCAGGTACCGCCTCTTCCTCTTGCCTTCTAGCGCCGCACAACCTTTGACATGTTGAGCGCTAAATCATTAACCCTGGTGTTTGTTTCCAGCCTCGGGCTCGGAGAGCGAGGCGACACCAGAGAAACGACCACGGACAGAAGAGAAAGAAGGGAGCGGCGAAGAGGCCCGCGGGACGCCCAAGCAGAAGAACCGTCGGCGCTGCTATCGCTGCCAAACCAAACTAGAGCTGGTGCAGCAGGAACTGGGATCCTGTCGCTGTGGTCAGTATCATCTTTGAGACACATGTCACTGTATAAGCAAAGATGGTCATCAAGCTTGAATGCTGTATTTTGGTTTGCTTCAGTCTTTTTTTTTTTTTCTCCACTGACTAGGTTCCCCTAATGATGTTTTTTATTGCATAAATAAGCACTGTAAACTCAACAGGGGGGCTGGATAATGACTGAGTTTGGCTTATGGCATCTTTGTCAAATGTTTGCATATAAATAATGTGGGAAAACTATATCAGAATCACTCACATGTACAAATTACAGGTAATGCACATTCATCCTCTTAAAATTGTATAAAGAAAATAGCACAGACCTGCTTTAGAAACAGGGAAGAGGTCTCTTTTCCTATGTTCTTGTTTAACAATAAGCATGGCAAAGTAAAATTAAATAAAATGTGTATTGGGGTCACTTCCTGCCTTACCAGCTTCTCTGTTTGCCTCCCAGGCTACGTTTTCTGCATGCTCCACCGTCTACCCGAGCAACACGACTGTCTGTTCGACCATCTGGGCCGCGGACGTGAGGAGGCCGTCCTCAAGATGGTGAAGCTGGACCGCAAGGTGGGCCGTTCATGCCAGCGCATCGGGGAGGAGTGCTCCTGATTGGCCACAGAGTGAGCAGCCATCCAATAAAACAGGAGCTTGCAAAGAGGAGGTGGTGGTAGTGGTGATGATGGAAGAAGGTCTAGGAGAATTGACAAATGGGGTAATGGGAGGGGGTGGGTGGGAGGGGGGAGAAGAGGAGGAGGGGATGGGGTGTGGTTGTAACATCCTGCATCTGACCCAACGATTCTGGATCTGAGCTTAAGGCCACCCTGTTGAAGTCCTGGTTTCCTGCCTGGAGCGTCTGTTCGGACTCTGCTCGGGGCCAACAGGGGGCCGCCTGGTGGCTGTTCTTCAGAGCTACGTTCAGTATCGCATGTTCTCACACACACAGCCTTAACCCCACCCGTCTTCAGAGGAAGGACACCACAGAGACGGATCCAGTCAGTCGTATGTCATGCACAGTTCTTCTGTGCCTTGCCCCGGTTTCCTCCTCTTTACTCAGTGGTTTGTTTTTTTTGTTCTCTTTCTTTTCAGTACAGGAAGTGAACTGCTCTAACGCTCAGCTGAACTGATCCATTTGGATTTTTTGGATTCTACAGAGTTATTTGTTTTATTTTGATTTTTTCCCCCATTACCTGGTCGCGGATGAGGGGTCTAGCACTATCCCACGACCACTCCTCAGGTCGTCATCAAGGGGTCGGGGTATCAAACCTGTAACCCCACCTTCCTCTTCTTCTTTTTTTTTTTTTCTTTTTTTTTTTCCCCCCTTTCTTCCACCCGTGTTTGGACCCATGCACAGCATCACTAACCAGTTGTACTCATGCATGGTTCTAGCAACAGTGTATTTGTGCAGGTTTTGAGCGTGTCATTTGGTAATGTGATGCAGTCCAAGGATGCTGCCATGGTTCAGTCCTTTTTTCTTTTTCTTTTTTCCCTCCTGTGTGGCCGTTACGGTGATTAGCTCTGTTTTTACTGCTTAACCACGGTGTCGTGGAGGACAATACAGCCGATCCCTGCCTCTGCTCACAGACTGTTGGCAAAAAGGAAAAATACAAATAAAAAAAAAAAAATAGACAAACACACTAAATGGACAAGAGACACTCAGATAAATCCTCTGTGTAGCAGTCCCTCTTCTCCCTTCTCCCTCCCGTTTTTCAATTTACTGAGTGGTACTGTTGTTCTTGATACATAAAGGGGAAGACGACTGAATTTTTGTATTCAAATGAAGAGTTCTTCACCAAAATGCCATATATTAATTTAGAAAAACAAATATCTGAACTATAACTGAGTCTCCATAGCTTCTCACTGAGTATTTATATTACTACCTTTTATTTTGCGATTTGTCTCTTTGTAGGAAGGATAAATTGGGGATTTATTTTCAGCTTTGAGATGTCTCTTTGGAATATAATTCTTAAAATATTATTTCTTTACTATTTTTTTTTTTTTAATACTGATTGCCATCCAGAACATTATTTCAGAGAGCGAGATGATTTAGTTTAAATCTGTGATAAATGTCCACCTAAAACATCAAATAAAACTTCTAAAGTAAAAAAGGGCAAATGTTGGATGGGTTTGAAAACTCTGTTTGCCTTTTTGTCAAAGTAGCCAATTGTAAGACTTTAAGAACTGAATACACTGCTTGTGGCATTGTTTGTTTGTTTTCTTACCACAGATTCAAACTGACTCCGGTGTCTAATGAATGTTTTGGCTGCAGAAATATCATGCGAATTCTGAAATTGAGTGGTTTTCCCCTTTCCTCATACGTTTTTCTTTTTTGTCATTGTTTCCAATCCTACTCCTAATCAGCCTACTCAGTCCGACTGCTTGGACTTTGTGCTGTGCATATTGTTCAGTTACATGTTTCTTCCTCCTTATCTAAAAGGATTGTTCTACCAAAATCAATGTTTAGTTTGTGATGCTGCAGAAGTTGACGTTTTTCTTCTTCATTTTTTTTTTTTTTTTTTTAAGCTCGAGGTGTGAGTGCAACAAAATAAAGACGTTGTGGTTTATTTAAAACAAATTCAGAATCTCCATTTAAAAAAAAAAAAAAAAAAAAAAAAAAAAAA